CACACACACACACACACACACACACACACACGCACACACACACGCACGCACACACACAGAGGGTCTAGCTAGCAGGACTGCAGATGGCTCTGTCTTAAAACCTCTAATTCCTTTACAACCGTCTACCTACCTTCGTCTGTCTCGAAGCAGAGACATCCTTGTGTTGTTTAGTCGCTGCAGCAGAGCTCTCAGGACAACAGACACACACAAACACAACAACATGTTTCACACTCTTAAAAGTTTCCAAAAAATACGTTATTTTTTGTCCACTTTGACGAACAAGTTGAAAATTACACATTAAATACAAACAAACACAATCTTAAATGAGGACAAACACAGTGTCCTAATGGTGGTGTCACTGCTCCTCGCTGACCTGGGTGCTGCTTTGCTCTGACCGCCAGCAGGTGGAGGCAGCAGCTCATCTGAATAAAAGTGTTCAAACTGGATGGTGCGTTCACGGCACACCAAGAACATTACCCCTTTATTACAGACCTGCAGCAGTTGTCTCGTTTTCGTCGTAAAACATCCCATCTTGCTCAGTTTCGTTTTATGGTCACCCATGGCATAAATTGCTCTTTAAAAATCCTTATTTTTACCAAAGTGGGATTTTGTTTGTCATGGGGTTTCTTTATTCTGTATTTCATTAAAATAGTTTATCAAATGGTTCCCTCTGTGCTTGTGAATACGAGATATGTGATGGGAATGCATGATACCATAATACTCACACATCTACAGGTATTGATACAAAAAAGCATACATATTGATATCCATGGAATCAATAACTATTATACCAAATTACTATGTTATAATAACTAAACTATGTGAACACATTAGTTTGTACAGGCACATTCACACATAAATCCTTTGGCATGCAATAACTTCCCTTTTTTTCTCCCAGAGTAGTACTGGATCCCAACTGAGCGGTGAACTTGAGGTCCTAAAGTAAGAGATACCCCAAAGCTTACCTCCCTCCCTGGTTTCCCATAATGCCCCCCTCAACCTCATCCAAATCCCCCTATATCAACCCCAAAGGTCACCCACATGCAGACCATTAAGTCACTTATTCCTTTTTTGGAAAACTGTAAAGATAAGCATGATAAAATAGTGACATTACACCATATATTACACTTAAGAAACCTTCAGTTAATGCTCTTCAGAGCGTAGATGGCATTCCTGTGTGATCCTGCATGAATCTTCCATGAAAACAGCCATTTGAGAAGCCACGCTGCAGAAAAACAGAAAGTTTCTTGGATGCTGTTTGCAGTGACCTCCTGAGACCCCTATACATCAAACCTCATGACACCGCTGGTGACAGAGGAGGCCACAAGTGAACTTTGGAGGAGAAGTTCAGAGGAGTAGAGTCATGAGCACATGTGAGTCTATTTTATCCACTTTATCTCACTGCTAATGGTCTGCTGTATGAAAGTGGATAGTGAGGTTATTTCTGTGTTTCTGTTATAAGGTCTTAAAACATTACTGCAGAAGATGTCTTGAAACTATTCCTAATAACATCACAGATTAATGCAGTTTTCAAGGAAAACATACTATTAGAATTTGGACTTGGCTTGCAAGTTAACTTATTTTTCAGTTACTTATATGCATTTACCTGGATTTCGATATATCCTCAACCTCAATTTTAAATAATGTATTTGCTCAGTGAATGATAAAACATCAATGCCTGCCTTTACCATGCACTGAGCAAGGACACTCGAAAAGGCTGAATATCTCGAAAAGCTGTGTTGTTCATTTTTACTCTTATGATCCCAAATGTAACATGTCTTGTTTGATTTCCTGAGAGGCAAGAAGAAGGGCCCAAAATGACAGTATCTCTGATTTTATCACAATATTTCTGCACATGTTGACGTGCAGAACAGTTTGATTTGCAGCCTTTAACGCCCCTGAAGTATCTGTCAAATCTGCTCATGAAACCAGGGGCTCAATAAATAAAACTGTTATGTGAAAACCCTGTCATGAGCACTGCTTTGTTTTCTAGACACACACACACACACACACACACACACACACACACACACACACACACACACGCACACACACACACACACACACACACACACACACACACACACACACACACACACACACACACACACACACACACACACACACACACACACACACACACACACACACACACACACACACGAAGCTAAATGTGTATTCCAGAAGGGTGATGCACGATTGAATACTTCTGTATTTCTTTTACAGTTGTCCCCCACGGGCAGAATATAATGGTGTTCACGGTATAATGACAAAAACAACTATAACAGACACTTTTATGCATTTTCTCACCAATTTAACCAAATATAATTTCAACATTTTACATAAAATCCCTTGTGCATAATGTGTAGGAAATAAATATGAAATATATGTGAAAAATCTTAAGCATAAAATTGCAATTTGATACATTAAGAATCTTTTTAACACTGAAAAAACAGATGGGCATTGTAATATCCACATATTTATTTTTAGTACGGGCATACATTTGCATGACACTGACAAAAAATAATTCCAAAACAAAGTCAAGACTACGAGTTGTAAATATATATTCTTAGTTACCAAAAAAGCACCAAGAGTGGTGACAGATTTGGCCTGCTTGCTTCCCAGATGTCTCTTGTTGTCTCGGAACAGACGGGCAGCGCCGCTCCTCCTCACATCCAGACACCGTCTTCTTTCTGTCTGCATCCGTTCAGCAAGCAACAAAATGTGGCTTTATGTCTGCACATCTCCGCATGAAAACAGCAGACTTAAATCAACATTTGTAGCAATATATAACGTTATATAAGTGTCAAAACGCAGTGTTCAGATAATTTTCATCATAAATATTGTAGAGATGCATTTGTTATTCACAAGGCTCTTTGTTCTCTTTGTATCCTTGTTGGTTTCTACACCTGTGTCGAATTAAATCTGGCCAGTACTAGGCTATCTATAAAACCTAATTTTATATTCTAACAAATAAGAATAACATGATAATTAACACAAGTGTAGAGAATAATTTGCAGCAATAACCAGACATGCTTAACAATGAGCTTAATTTGGTTAAATTAAAAACATATTTGTAAGTCTGTTATTCATTATTATCTTCAGTTAAATTATAACCAAATATTATAGGCTGTGAGGAGATTTACCTCACAGTACATACGTTATTAAATTTGGTGAACATCCTTAAAAAGAAAACAAAGGTCAAAATAAGTTATATGAAGTAAAAATAAACATTTCAAGCAAATGTGGTAAAATGTAATTATTCTAGAAGTCTACCAGGCCAGAGAAAGACCGGCTCGCATCTGATGCAGAGAAAGGTATGAGACTGAATGGGATTTCTGCTGAATGCCAACACCCACTCACCTCTGCAAACAATTGATCCTATGTAAACGCTGCTCCGTTCGTTTCTATACCACTAACCAAGTCCTTTACTCTCCACAATGTTTTTTCTGCCAGTATAGTCCTTTTTAAAATCGAAAAACGACCGATTTTCGTCTTCAGAGGGATTTCTGATTTATTATCGAGCGAGTGTGCAAAAAATATTGTGTGCGTAAAGGCCGTGCGTCTCATCCGTCTTTAAAAAAATCCCTTCACTTCTAAATCGAAAACTTCCTCTACAGCCTAGCTAGAGAGTGGTTGTCCTCTTCCTGGCCATATATGATCTAAGGGAGTGTTAGATGGTTTAAATGTGTTCTTAGGGCAGGGAGCTGTCAGACCTTTTGGCGAGAAAGATTGATCACACACAGGCTACCAGGGCTCTTTGTTTAGAGCCTGAGCAATAAACAGCCATCGGATCCCCACCTTTCCTCTGCCTCACACTAGTGGCAAATCATGTCTACCCTCCGCTATGTTATAACCAATAATGCTGAGGTGTAAGGATGATGGCTTATGTCAACATTATCCCTATAGGTGAAATAAAATAAATGAAATGGGATGTGGGATAGGGAGCTATAAACTGTGAAATAGTGAGAATGCCCTTTAAATAACCCAACTGCTTACTTGCATTGACACAAAATCATGTTTTTCCAGGAGATTTCCTATAAAGACTTAAATTATAAAATTACCAAAAATACCATAAGGTACTGAGAAGATTAAATAATTGGGAGAAAAAACCCCTGCGAGAATCTGATGTCAATATCATTCAAATTCACATTATACATCTATTAAACAACAGTCATTTTTGTCATCCCTCTGTTTTTCTCTCTCTCTTCTGTGATGTGTGTGTGTGTGTGTGTGTGTGTGTGTGTGTGTGTGTGTGTGTGTGTGTGTGTGTGTGTGTGTGTGTGTGTGTGTGTGTGTGTGTGTGTCGGTGTGTGTGTGTGTGTGTGTGTGTGTGTGTGTGTGTGTGTGTGTGTGTGTGTGTGTGTGTGTGTGTGTGTGTGTGTGTCGGTGTGTGTCGGTGTGAGTGTGTGTGTTGGGGGAGGGGTGGACATGTTATTGAATGTCTGGTGCAGCCTTTTCTCTCCAAGCAAACCTCCAAGAGATTCTCAAGATTAACGCCCTGGCCCTGATATCGATTGGGCGTCGCTGCATTATGAGACACAAATGTGACTGATGAAATGATTTGTTGAGTGCCACGCTACAAATAAATGCTCATGCACCCACATCACAAATCACATGCACGTACTAGCAAGGCAGACTGCGTGGCAAAGAAGGCACGTTTTTCTGTGGGCGGGGGGCAGAAGTGAACAAACTGACCCCAAGAAATGTGTAAATAAAGCAACCCCTACCCCTGGAATGAGGCGTTACCCCTCAGACTTTCTCGATCAATCACAGGGGACAGTGGCTTCTTTTGATAAAAAACCCAAATTGTCATTGGGCAGATGCAATCATGTGACAAGTAGCACGGGCTAATTCCAACGATGTCCTCATGAAGGCAATAGTTTATGGCATAGAGGTCTCCATACGACAATATCTAGTTTAGTCGTTTATGATAATAAACGGCGTATTAATCTGAGTTAATTTTAAATCAGCGAGATTTTCAACACAAGGAGGAGGAGATGAATTACGAATTTGGGAGAGAAAGTGGTTTTATCAACAGCCAGCCGTCGCTCGCTGAGTGCCTGACATCTCTCACTAACCCTGTCGGTGATGCATTTCAAAGTTCATCAATCAAGAGCTCGGCGCTTTCACAGTCGACACTGATTCCTCCTCCTTTTGAGCAGACCATCCCCGGCCTGCACCCGGGCATCCACCCACGCCACAGCCGCGCAAAGCAGCCGCTGCAGGCTGCATCCCTTCCCCCGGAGTACCCGTGGATGAAGGAGAAAAAAAGCATCAAGAGACACCCGACTGCTGCTGCTGCTTCTTCTGCAACAACGACTGACTCCTCGCCACTCTACTTCTCCCCCCAAGGCAAGACATGATGATTAATAACCTCCATGTAAAAGGCTCCTCATTGTCTGAGGAATCCCCTCAGCATGAGCTGCATCCCGGGCCTTATGCAACACGGGCATCCCTTTAAGCCAGTGTAGGATTTTGATTTAAACATGCTTAATCTCATCAAGTAACGCACTGACTTGTGATGCAGTGTACTAGTGTTAATGTTTGACAGTAATGGAGAGTGATAGATTATTCTTACACGGGCCAGCAGCTGGCATGTTCATTAATCTTCACCCTCCGTCCTGTCCTGTCCAAGCAGACCCATCATATTCTGCCTGGGGCCCATAAATCTTCCCACTGCCGGCGCTTGCTTGCCACAATTTTCTCCCCGGCTTGTTTTCCTCCACATATACACACTCAACTCTGTTGCTGTTTTATTTATTTTTTGCCAGCATTTCTCTGATTAAAAAAACTTGTTTATTTTTGTTTAGGTTCCCCAGAGGAGCCAGAGCTCGGAGGGGCATCCCGGAGATTAAGGACTGCGTACACCAACACCCAACTTCTGGAGCTGGAGAAGGAGTTTCATTTTAACAAATACCTGTGCAGACCGAGGCGAGTGGAAATAGCTGCTTTGCTGGATTTAACAGAGAAGCAGGTGAAAGTGTGGTTTCAGAACAGGAGGATGAAGCACAAGAAGCAGACCCATTGCAAGGAGAACCGGGACAGTGAGGGGAAATACGCGTGCCTGGACGACGAGCCGGAGGACGAGTTTGAGCAGGAGGAAGACAGCAGTGCAGCCGGGGGGACGCTCCTGGAGAGGGAGAGGTATTTCCACCAAAATACCTTAACTTCACAACATTGTATGAACGGGCACAATGGGGACAACCAAAGCGCTTTGAACAGCAATGAGAAAAATCTGAAACATTTTCCTAACCCGGCACCCACTGTTCCTATCTGCGTGTCAACAATAGGCCCGGACAATGATAATTCCCCGGGCCTGGACGTCTCTTTGCAGGATTTCCACGTTTTCTCCTCCTCCTGCTCTTTCTCACCAAGTTTGTCAGATTCTGAACATAGTCCCTTGTCTTTATCCTCCGAAACGTTTGACCTTTTCTCAGAAACACTCACAACAATCGACCTGCAAAACTTGAGCTATTAAAATATTTCAACATGTTTCATTTGAGTTCAGACACTTGTGTCCAGTTTATACTCAATTAAGTAGATCTCAAAAGTAAGGTAAGTTAAAGCAAAGACATTAGCCTATGGACAGTTTAGCCTGCGAGTAAAGACTTTATTTTTATATGGATTTCTACTACAGTGAGAATATTTTTCTTGAAATAAAACTTGACATTTATTGGAATCAGCAGCGCCATTGTCTTATTTCACAGTAAGAAAGTTTGGAGAGCTCATTGATTTTAGGCCTACAATACCATATAAAATATATTAGCTATAAGAAAAAATGAATTATGTCCATGAATAGTTTATAACATGTTTACTTTCATACTTTCAAATAAAGATAATATAAAGAGTTTTATTCAAACGCCACGTGATGTTTTCTTGCAGTATAAAGATACTATTGATTCTATGATCTCAAACGTCCTCAAAACAAATAGCAAGATTAATGAGCATTACGAAATACAAATAATAGTTATTTTGTATCTTTGTTAATTTCCATACGTTTAGTTTCAAGTACTTTTCGTGCATGCTTCTGGTACATAGGCTACCTCAATGATTTATCGGACCAGAAAGAAGGAACAAAAAAAGCAGATTCATTGCCTCAGCAAGTTTAAACCCAGAAAAAGAACATTTGCTGTGAAAATTGCCTGCTAGGAGTCTCAGGCCAAAAGCTATGACTTTTCTTGGCTCTAATTAAATTTTATTGCCAATAAAACTCACAGCACTGAGGGTGCTTGTTTATGGCCTGATCCTCGTTGTAACACAATCTTTTTGAAATAAGAATATCGCCTTATACGCAATCGTTTTTCAATTTTGATGATTTAAAATTAAACATTCAAAGCAGCCGAGACGTTTCCCCCAAGTCGATGTACATTTTAACTTCATTTTAATCTAGAACTATAACACAGTAGCAATAAATAGACCAGATATGAGTTAAATAGCAGGCGTTATTTATTCCATTTATTTATGGTAAAATGTAACGATGGAAGTAAATGTATATTAATCTGAACCAAACGGATTTCGCCCCTGTTTACGGCTAAATTAGTTTTTTCACACCGACTGGTTAGCCTCGGCTCGTTAAAGCGCACAGAAGCCACGATGTCACAGCCTGGTCGCTGTTTCTAATAGGAAGCTGTTATTAAACGTTAAGGGGAAATGATCGATAAAGCCAGAGATTTGTCCTGGAATAAAAAGATTAACAATCCCACTGATCAATTATTCTGACCAGAGTCTGCAGGCAGCGTGATTTAATTTACAGCCTCGGTATCTCTGCACTCATCGTGCTGCTCTCAGCCTCACAGCTAGCAATACTAAAAAAGGTGGGGTGCTGCAATTCTTACTGAGATACCATATTAAGCGATGGCTAATTATGGTAATTTTAAAAATAGATAGGAAAAAATTAAGCCCAGGTGGTCAGATTTGCTTTGGTGCTGAGGCCACTGAGCTCATTTTTAGTCAGAGCACTCTGTGCCATCAAGTCAGTGTCTGCTGGACTGACCACAAATATCTCCTGATATTTATTATTTGAAAAAAGGTCCGGCAATGTATACCTTTGCATGCTTTGTTTCTCTTTATGAGCATCAAAATAAAACATATCATTCATAGCTTTGCCCCCCGCAGCTTTCACCATGACCACCCCAACATTCACATTCATGAATTCGATTATATAATTTTCTTTATTTGTTATGGGTATATGATGGTAATTTGGAGCAGCTTGGTCAAGTAGTACATTACCAACATGTTATGAATCATACAATCTGAGGAACCAACCACAGGAAGGAGTTCAAGCATGGTAGAAAAGTAGATGAAGCTTTATGGGAAACTAGATACAAGCCTGTGCCAGCAGATCCCTCCCTCCACACATGCACACACACGGGTCAAAGGTCAAGCTGGCTCTCCTCTCCTCTCCAAGCGGAGAGGAACTACTGCCAGGTCAGGAGGGGGTCAGGTTTTGAATGACCTCAGAGGGTTTGTGGCTCATAAAGAAGGTCTTGGTTACTCAGCTCTGAACAGGAAATGACATCAGAAAATGCAAAACAATAATACCATGAAGGATATTATATAAAGTTTATGTTTGCATTAAGAAATTAGGAATGTGATTGTAAATCACATGACAATAAACCAAAGATCTATAGAGCTGGTTCAAATTTTCTCAGAATGAATCAACATCAACAATATTGTAAAACTTAATAAAAGACATAAAGCAAAAGTGTAAAAAACTCAATCACTGTCAATAAAGAAAACAACATAGAGAGTGTTGTACTGGGTCCAAAACACATTGGTGAAGAAAAAAGGACAGAGCACCTAAGAATTTAACCAGAGTGTGTGTGGATGTTAAAGTCTCTCTAAAGCTGCTGAGTTAAAACTGGAGGAGAGTCATTTGGATGTGGGACTGGTTGGCCTGACAGCACTGACAAACAATGTGCAGCACCTGCAGCTAAAGCACGAACTGAAGCTCTTCAGCCCCTCCAGAGCTGCACTGACATCTCTGTTTCCTTTCTCCACAACAACAGGCTATTCAGTTCAAAGGCTGAGCCTTTAAACCTGGATTGGGTGATTCTCACTGTCAAAAGATGACTAATGAATGACTGACACCTTTATAAACAATATGACACCCAGCTGCTTTCACTGAATACACCATGAGGCACAGGGTTGACTTGGTGTATAAGGTGAGCTTTTTGTTGTTTACTTTTGCCAGGACTTGTACATTGATTGCATTAGAAAGGAAAATTGTGTTTGTCTTTGATTGTCCACTACAAAACGAATTAATGTCTCACTAATGCGATTAATATTCTGAATGTGATCTAGGAAAAAACTGTGCAAAAGTTAAATGGGCTCTCAAACATCTGTTGCTGAAATATAAAAAAAAAACTGGCACCTAAACCTGCAGAACAGTTTTATATAATGGCCTCCTCAACTATTAATGAGCCCTATTTGGATTTACAATGTTGACATATTCATAAGCCCAAAGTGCTTGCATCATTGTAAAAAAGAGACACCGCCAATGTGTCCAGTGAGTCAGTCACAGACTTAAGTGCCAGAGAAATATTATCTGGGATCAATCAAAAATATGATCATGTGTGATCCGCTGACTTTATAGGTCTGTAAAGACCCATTGCTCCATTAAAGCATCGACTCCACGTCATCAGGAGCAGTCAAAACTATACACACAAAGGCTGATAGACCAATAAACGTCAGTGTGGATGTTGAACAACAGGCAGGTTTCAGAGGGGGTTTTCTACAGCGGAACTATGTGGTCAGATAATAATTAGAACTTTAACTTCCGTGTCCTTAAACTCATTGCTGCTTCCGTGTGTGAAGTCTCCCCGCCGGACGGTCACCGCTGCCAGGAACAAACTCTCAATACAATGCGTGCGATTCCCGAGGAGCTAACGACGCTCATCTCAGGTAAAATCTTAATAAATTACCGCTTATCTGCACACAATGGGTGGTTTTCTGTGTTTATTTGGTGCTTTTGTCACCACGTCCAGCTTTTAAGGGACCGTTTTGTGAAAGAGGAAGCACACACTCATAACAACGCTTTCAGTCAGGTGGACTTCAGTCTAGCTGCATCATGTCAACCGTGGTGCTATTTCATCCGTGCTGATCAGTATCAAACAATGAGCAGTTGGACTTCGAAGCTGCACACCGTGTTGTTGTGCTTTTGAAAAGGATATGTTTTCCAGTAGAAGCCTACCTGGTTTTTGTCTGCCAAAACAGTGGAACCAGATTGTATGAATGTTTTATCTGATTTATTTTTAGACCTAGAATATTTCATCTCTGATGGATTAAAAGGGGAAAATCTCAGCAAGAAGGCAAAAGAGAAGAGGGATGCCTTCATCAGACGGATTCAAGAGCTCAAATTGGGGTATGTCTTTCTGCAGATCAGAATTGAGGTACAAATATTTTAATGGAAAATATTAAATTAATCTCTTTCTCTTCAACAGTTTCCCACACGATTTCAAGGACAGAAGTGAGTGCTTGTCTTACACTTTATTAAATGTACCAGTGGCTCCCAACCTTGTGTTGTAAGCACATAAGGCATGAATCTGAGGGGTCACTAATATCAGGATAAACCCATTGAAATGTGTTATCTTATTTTAAAAGATATGATCAACCACTTTGAATATCTTAAATAAATACCTCCTGATACACAAAAAATGTCCTCTATTATTTTCTTTTTTTCAAAAAACTGTTTTGTGCTTTTAAACTTTCTCCAAACAGCCACAAAAGGGAATATCCCTCTTCAAATGAAATTAATAAATCTCATGGATATGCACAACAGGTTGGGAGCCATTGGGATACAATATAACAGGCACCATTAACAGTTTCTGTTTGTTCTTCTAGGTGGAGATGAGGAGGATGACGAGGAGGAAGTTGACAGCAACAACGATGGAGGCTCACAGCAGTCAGAGCGCACAGACAAGGATGAAGACGCTGGCGAAGGTAAGCCACAAACACTTAGCAGATGTCCAAACGTTGACTTGCTAACTGCTAACAAGTGGTGGATTAAAGTATTGAAAATTGCACCTTGGCATGAACATATACAAATCTCAGGGTCTGCTCCTTGGAAAAGTGACTTTGAGTGGCACAATGAGGGAGACATTCCAACTGTAACTTGGCAACATACTTGGGAAGCAATTTGGGGGAACTAGTGCTACTCCCACCACCTCTTTCACCCCACCCCTTTGACAGCTAGAGCACGCTTTATTGCTCCCAGCCAGTCTTGGGACAGAACATTACTGCCATTGCTGTAGTTTGAGAAAAAACATGTCTCCATGTACAGTAGCCCAGTTAACCCTGTACGCTCCATTGGGGCAACCAATGCAATATTTTGTATTTACTTTTATAAATAGAGTATCAGGGATATCCTTGTGATAATGGCTATTAGGGGTCTGGGGTTTATGGGCTGCAAACAGCTGCCAGATTTATGGCTGCTCTTTCACACAAAGCAACTTTGACACAGCAGTTGAACATTTGCATTGAAGTTGCACGCTGCAAGGGGAATCTCCTCCAGTGAGAAGCAAAACCTTGCGTAGTAGAGCCTCCATAGATTCTGCTACTTATTTTCACATCAGTCAAACAAATAAACCACA